ACTGGGTAATATTCTAAAACTGGTACATTACTGTGCATATCAAAACTGAACTAGTACATGAAGTCGCACAACACTTCTATCAAAAAACTCTGTTTCTTACAGAAACCTAGTTGATGTTACTAAAAGGGGGGATAAAACAGATACAATCAAAAGTCGTTAATTCGGACACCCATAATCCAGAATGATCTATAATCCGGACCTCAAAACTAAAATCTTTCTACGCATGCGCATAGGTGTTTTACTCGTGCGCCCAAGACATTTACGACTGCGCATATGCGTCTGCACAAGTGCAGAATACGTTTTCGCGTGTGCGTTTAATGTATAACGGACGCTATAAGCTAAAATTACCTAATTATCTATTTCAGTTAATGTTGATGATTGCGTTGTTCCTTAATCTTCGAATTGGATCCGGCTTATTATTTTTTGCAGACTGTAAGAGCAATTTTCTAAAAGTAAGCTTGAACTTTTGATTATGTCAAATAGAATTTTTGATGCTGGAGCTCCCAAAGGATCTAGAAAACGAAAGTATGTTACGATGTCCATCAAATAAAAAACGAATTGTTACAAAAAATGGATAAAGAACGCATAGGCGTTTACGCGTGCGCGTAAGACCATTACGGCTGTGAATATGCGTGTGCACATGCGCAAAATACGTTTACGAATGCGCGTTTAATGTATAACGGACGGTATAAGCTAAGCTAAAATTATCTAATTCAGTTAATGTTGCAGATTGTGTTGTTCCCTTAATCTTCAAATTGGATTCGGCTTATTATTTTGCAGACTGTTAGAGCAATTTTATAAAAGTAAGCTTGAACTTTCGATTATGTCAAATAGAATTTCTGATATATATTTACTAATATGTAAAGGATCTACAAAGCGAAAATATGTTTCGAACTCCATTAAACAAAAAGTGGAATTGGTGCAAAAAATGGATAAAGGCATATCTTTTGTTTATCTTTAACGCCGCGGCGCACAATGAATTGGAAGTTGATCTGTCAGCACTATCCCTATCTTCAGGGCAGATGTTTTTATTTTATTTGGCTTATAATTCTTTACTAAATGTAGTATTTCATCTTGATGTACTCCGTCTTTGGTATGATTTAAATCAAATTTCTTGTCATTATAATTCGCTTCCAATAGCGAAGAAAGTGACAGAGGTTATTGAAAACGAAAAAATTTCGATTGACAAATTAGTCGGTATTCTCGAAACAGCAATTATAGGACTTGAACAGCGGAACTTTGTAACTGAACAAGAAATTATGCCTGTTTATAGAATTAAAGAGAATGTATTATCACATAAAAAACGAAGCAACTTAAACAACTTACATTGAAAGAAAAGTTTAATAAAGTAAACAAATATTAAACTTTTTTTTGTAAATTTTGATACCCTTTAGATCATAATTGTTCTTTATTTCATAAATTACGGTTTCATATTTATAATTTTATAATTTCTGCATGCCATTTTACCAGATTTAAACTGATGATCTATAATCCGGAAAAATCAATAATCCGGAATCGCCAAAGTCCCGATGAGTCCGGATTAACGACTTTTGACTGTAATTAAAATCCAGTTAATGCAGATAATGGATGGACTTCAACACAGAAGCCATTAACAATATTAATACAGTCAAAAGTCGTTAATTCGGACACCCATAATCCGGAATGATCTATAATCCGGACCTCAAAGCTACAAACTTTCTGCGCATGCGTCGCTTTCACGCATGTGCGTAAGACCTTTACCGCTGCGAATTTACGTGTGCGCGTGCGCAAAATACGTTTACGAATGCGCGTTTAATGTACGGGATAAGCAAAGCTAAAATTATCTAATTATCTATTTCAGTTAATGTTGCAGATTGCGTTGTTCCTTAATCTTCGAATTGGATCCGGATTATTATTTTTTGCAGACTGTTAGAGCAATTTTATAAAAGTAAGCTTGAACTTTCGATTATGTCAAATAGAATTTCCGATATATATTTACTAATATGTAAAGGATATACAAAGCGAAAGTATCTTTCGGAGTTCCATTAAACAAAAAGTGGAATTGCTGCAAAAAATGGATAAAGGCATATCCTTTGTTTATGTAAACTTTAAACGTTTGTTTATCTAAACATTGTTTATCTTTAACACGGGCGGCGCGTGCAATGAATTGGAAGTTGATCCAGCACTATCCTTATCTTAGAGGCAGATGTTTTTATTTTATTTGGCTTATAAGTGCTTACTCAATGTAGTATTTCATCTCGATGTGTCTTTGATATGATTTAAATCAAATGCCTCGTCATTATAATTCGCTTCGGATAGCGAAGAAAGTGATAGAGGTTATTGAAAACAAAAAGTTTCGATTGACAAATTAGTCGGTATTCTTGACACAGCAATTATAGGACTTGAACAGCGGAACTTTGTAACTGAACACGAAATTATGTCTGTTTATAGAATTAAAGAGAATGTATTATCACATAAAAAACGAAGCAACTTAAACAACTTACATTGAAAGAAATGTTTAATAAAGTAAACAAATAAATATTAAGCTTTTTTTTGTAAATTTTGACACCCTTTAGATCATAATTGTTTTTAATTTCGTAAATTACGGTTTCATATTTTTAATTTTATAATTTCTGCATGCCATTTTACCAGATTTAAACTGATGATCTATAATCCGGAATCGCCGAAGTCCCGACGAGTCCGGATTAACGACTTTTGACTGTATTTTGGGTTAATATTTGGATTATGGTAACTTGGCGAAAATTTGGTGACCAACCCTGCTACAGCAACCTGCTAGTTTTTTTTTTGGACACCATTTTGTTTTCACAAAGTAAAGGCATTTTTTTTTTCCCTCAACATTTTTTTCCAACAATCTGCTAGTCCAATTACGCTTATGATAGAACTTTTATGGAACAGAAGTGATTAATCATGACGAAGATTAGGTGCGAAATTGGGAGAAAGTGCAGAATCGCCCACTGCTTGCTGCATTTTTAAGAATTGCACATACACGGTATCCATGTACACGTCAACCTATTTTCACTTAAAAAAAAATCCCAGAATTGCACACACTCTTGAGGTTATCCATGTACACTGCTAAAGTCCTAGCTAGTAACCTTTATCGCCTTACAAAAATGTCGCCAAACTACCTGTTACCATATTCCAAAGATTAGCCATATTTTGGTTTCTGCTCATAAAGGCCCAAATCACAGCAACAATAATTGTTACACAAATAAGAAACCCATCATTACCATATTCAAATTTTCTGTATGCATGTTTTCTTTTCCATCTTCATTCAATGCAGCTCTGCAATTTTTTTTTTTTTTTTTTTTAATATAGATAATAGTTTGTAGAGACCATTAGGCATTTTATTTTGGAGTTAGAAGATATGAAAAATGTGATATGTCCTCACCAGGATTCAAACTCTGACTGCTAAATGGGCATGCTTTCTAGTTATGCTATGAAGGCATGTGATAAGGAGAAAGAAAAGTTTTACATTCTCATACACTTAAATGGCTACTGGGGAGGCCATGACCCTATCGCCAACCTTTCGTCCGGGTGCACTGCAGAACAGTCTTTTGAACTAAGTCGAGAGTGGGTGCTAATCGAAGGAGGACCATTTATTAGGAGGCATTTAGAAGTGATTTGAGAGAGGGGATATTGAGAAGAAGAGAAAATCACAAGAGGGAGATTGATGGGGGACCTGGCAATAGGTTCTCGGTGATGGGGAAATGAATTTTTGGATGAAACAGTATAGCCACAGGATATTTCAACAGATATATAGGTGTGAAAACAAAAAAAACAAAAAAAAAAGAAGAGTTCACTTTCTGACCATGCAATCCATAGTATGAACAGTCATTCAAAATATAACTTGTTTTTAAGATGGGTATAATTAATTATTATCCAAGACCTGCTCTGCCATAAGATGAGTATAAGGAAAACATGCCAATTTCAAAATTGAAACTAGGTAAAATTCAACTGCAGAATGAGAAAAAAAAAAAAAAAAAGACATCTTTTTTATCATCAAATTTTCATAAAAATCACACTTATTTTAAATTAAATGCCCATCTAGTATTGAATTTTTTACAAAAATATGGAATACCAGATTTTATTGTGCAATTATATCAAGATCTGATATTTTACGCAATGCAATTTGGATTGGATCAATTATGAAGCAATTTTTGGTCAACTGGCCTTCTTACATAATATTTATACATCAACATGTATATCATTACAGAATGAGAATGATCTTACCATTAAAAAATTTCAGCCTTTGCATTACGGATTAGAACAAATGATTTAAGTACATTTAATTTCATAAATAACATTGTATATAATGTCATATAAAAAAACAAGCATATCGACCTTAGATTCGATTACTTAACAGGGATTATATTACAGCTATCTGCTTAATATCAAGAGATTACTTCCATGAATTTCCTAGGGAAACTCACCCATACCACATTTACATCATGCAGAAAGAAAATCATCAAAATACCTCATACACAAACCTAAAGGTCTAGAGTGAATTACTAAGTATCACAGAAAAATTGTGTTAACAATGATGATGGAGAAAAAAAGGTATCTTTTAATAAAAAGATACTTTCAGAATTTTTTCCCATAAGAATGATAAAGACGGATTATCTGTTGTAAATCTGTGGAAGAGTTCAGTAGAATTTAATAGCATTTAACTCAGGTGGTCATGACACTTAAGTATTTCATATTTTGTAATACAATTAACTTGAACTGCATCTTTAACAGTAAGCATATTAACTGTGACATTCACTAAAAAAACTTCACATGAACAGATTCTGGAATGACACAATGAAATTTATAAATATTTAAAGATTAAAACTGAAAATTAAATCCCCGTATCATCATTTAGTACATAATTTAAATATAAAACATCACAGCATATAAAATTCAGTTCTTTTTTTATCTGAATTTTTTTTTTTGTTATATATATATATAAAAAAACAGAACCAATTTTTTTAAAAAAACAGAAATGAGATGAATAAGCTCACCTTTCCGGTAGCCTTTTTATATCGTGTTATTGCTAAGTCCATCAATTCTCTTACAAGAATATCACCTTTGCCACACGGTACAATAACCCGTACATTTCCAAAATAGACAGTTACTTTCATTTTGTCTTAGTTCTACCAAATTTATGTTGTTTGAATTCATTCAATACAAACTATTCAGTCATAAAAAAAAATCGGATACTGTTGTGCACAAAAAAACTCGTACTACTAAACATTTTTTAGTTTTAATATGTACAAGAAATCATTCAGACGAGATAAAAAGGAAAACTGTAGGAATGTGCAAACAGTACGACTCAAAATGAATGAAAAAGGCACGGCTATCATGCTTCAACTTCAACTTTTGGAGATTCAGATACACCATATATCACAGAAATTCACTTATGTGTGTATTATTTCACACATGCAGAGTAATGCAAATAAATTTTCATGTAAATCCTGCACAGGCACATATGAAGGAAAATCCTTGTCCATGAAAAATTATGGAATGTATATGTTGTAAAATAAAACTTAAACTCTTTAAATTCCTTGAGCAAGCAAATCACAGATAAATATATCATAAAATCTCAGTTATTCACATAACACATGAAACACACGTGAAAAACATTCTATTCAATTTCCAATGCAGCGCATTACACACCGAATATGAATTTCTGTTGCTTTTGAGAAGCACTTTTCGCAGCTTGTCATACTTGTTGACGTTATCTTCTTCTGTAAGGAATGTGAAAAAATTCTGAACCTGCAATGTGGAAAATCTGAATTTTTATCAAAACCATTTTCATTATGATAAGCAGTGTTACAAATAGCATTAAATAATTTCCATGATAATTAAGAAAATGTTTAGCCATTTACATCCAACGAGCTAAGTTTTACTCCACAAAAAAATCTTGATTTTTAGGAATCTCACACCTAATATTAAGATTTAACTTCATATTCAGATTTATATAGCCTTCAACATATGTATTAGAATGGTCATTATTTAAACAAAATTTGTTTGTAAAAGGCAGGAGACAAAATTAAATTAATATTTATAAATAAATCTTTTTAGTATTATCGATGCTTGTTGTTAAAATGTTTTTAGAAACGTTAAAAATATTATAATTTCAGAGTATGTACCTCTAAACTCTTGAAATGTGTACTTTTACAATTACGAGTATGTTGTCATCCAAATTTGAAATTTGGTGTTGTTTTAGCCATGTATTATGGTTCATTGCAGTATTTTGAGGTTAATAATGTGTATTAATTAGAAACATTGGAAGAAAATGAACATCATTTGGTAACATTTTGTTAATGATTACTTTGCTGTAATATCATTTATTTTTGTAAACCTTTTGATTTTGTAGTTGGTAATTGCTCTATTTTTTATTAATTTTGATATTTGTGTGCAGATAAAGTAATCACCTTATTTAAAATCAGTTTATATGGCGATTATTACTTAAAATGTTACTTCTGTTTCTGAAGTATAAATGTTTGGAAACAGGGTTTAAAAATTGTTCACTTCATGTCAGTTTCAGTAAGGTAACTTATAAGTGTAATCAAGTTAGATGTGTTTCCTGTCTAATCTTTTGGAGAATCTAGAACTTATTAGAAAGAAAACAAGAAGAGTAACATTTAGAAATGGTTGCTTTGGAGCATAATGAAATTTTTTCAAGTAATTAAATTTCATAGGGGACGAAAACGCAGTGATTGCATAATGAGTAACTTTAATTTGTCAAGATTATGTTTTGACAAGGTTTATTTGCATTCATATTTTTTCCAAAAGAAATGTATGTACCTTAGTTACAAAATAAAGGAAAAGATTGTTAAAACTGATTTTACCGTAACTTCAAAAACTGAAGTAATAAATTTGAATTCTTATTATGTTGAAACTAAGTGTTGTAGATACTAGCATATACACTATGTCTAATCCTTCAAATTATGCATTTCATGAATTGTTAAAAGAAGTTTTAGTTAATAATCTGCTGATCTTAAGTAAAGCTTTTGCTATAGAGCTTTAAATATTGCTATTTATATTCAAAATAACTCATGATAAATCTTAAGTACTATAATTTATAATTATTTTTGCTAGTTATCAACTTATTTAACAATTATAAATCATGTATAACTTTTTAAAAGCTGTTTCGCACAAAATGTAACATGTATCTAATCTGGAACGTGCAAAATACACCTTTTTAAGGCATTTTGAAAATACAAGTATGATCTGTTTCTTTTACTACTAAAATTTTTACTTTTTATTCTGATGTTATATGGAAGGAGATATACTTCAGTATATCTCCTTCCATATAACGTCAGAATTTTGTTCACTAAATGCTCTATTTGGTAAAAGTATATTTTAGGGTACCCCTTGGCGATTTTTGGCGGTGCATGGATACCGATTTTGTGCAATTCTTTGACTCGTTATTTTGGCTTGCAAAGCGGACAAAAATCACCGCTACGCAAAGCCAAAATAACAAGACAAACAATTGCACAAACTCGGTCTCCATGTACACATCGACTTATTTTCACTTAAAAAACCCCGAATTACAGAGAAATGGCATTGTGCACTCCTTTGACTTTATCCATGTACACGTCAACCTATTTTCACTTTAAAAAAATCCCAAAATTGCACAAACTTTCATTGCGCACTCCCTTTACTTTGTCCATGTACACATCGATATATTTTCACTTAAAAAGTCAAAGGAGCACCAAATTCTACAATATAGGCAAACAAAAAATACATAATCTCAATAAAATACATTTTAAACCAAACAATAAAATAACATAAAAAAGGAAAATCATGTTATACATTTAAGCACTACCAAAAGCAAATATTCACTTACCATGATTTTCGAGTTTGCTTCGTACATCCAGAGCCACGTAAAAATCAAAATGTCAATCATACTCAAATGACTTTTTTCAAACCAGCTACTCTTTCTGATCGAACGCTTCACATAGTGACCATCTGAACCTTTCTTCCTACAAACCCATTCAAATCCATCTAAACAGTTTTTACGTTCAACTAGACGCATATCCTTCCTACATATAGGACACTTATAATGGCTACTAAGTAAACCTTCATTTACACACCAGTCAATTAAATCTCTTTTCCCCTTTCGCTCCAAATTGTACAGAAACTTCAGATTAATCTTACTACATTCAGTTATTCTACCGTCTAAAGAATCAAAACCAACACACACCACAAAAACGCTTACAAAAACATCCCATGATTCAAAATTTCCCAGAATCATGCACCCGATTACGTCACAATAGGTTTTCCATAACATTAAACTACTCAGGCTACCATAAATGAAACAACTTGGCGATAAATCAAACAACAATTTTGCCTAATACAAGAGGTACCTTAAAGTCTACTCTACCCCTCTATTTTTATGCATAATTTTTTTTTATTTGTGTTCATTCAAACTCCTATGATGTCTGGACAAATTTAAAAAAAAAAAAAAAAAAAAAGTTTTTAAAATTTTAATGTAGTTCCCACAGTGTATGTCAAGAATCAACTGCAAGACTATTGAAACTTTAACATTAAAAAAATTACTGTTGTTCAAATTTGAATATATTTCAGCAATCAACTTCAAGACCACTGAAATTATAACAGAGCACCAATTATCCAAAATATTGAAGACTGACCTTTGTTGAATTATTAACAGTATCAGATTAACACTGTGTATTCTGAAGGGTCATTTGTAAGGTTTTAGGCTTGTAAGAAAGAGTTTGTTTCTGGCCTCTGCTTGCACATTGCATTAGTTCCTATCAGCTCTGGTAATTTGTAATGATTTGTCTTTGCATTATCGCTGCCGATATTTGAATTTGTTATGCAATAACTGTGTTACAATGAGTTACGAGTTTGTTACGTGTTACTGAGCCAGCTTATATTAAAATTAAATTGTGTAGTCTTTGACTACCAGTCTATATTTTTAGTTTGAATTTGACTCTTCCTGTTTAATTGGATCACCATAAGCTGTAGTTGATTTTGCTAGCATTAGAACATGCCTTTATGTTTTAATGTCTTTTAAATACGAAGTTTATATAAACCCTTATCTGACTTTATAGTTACTTTCAGAAATAGCGATAATTTATTTCATGTCTGTCAGGGGTTTTAGACTATTTAACTTTTATCAGGTCAAATGAAAACTCATAGGTACATCGTCGAGAGATTGAAAAGTTAGGAGAGAAAACACGCAGAAACTAGTGGGAATATTGGTTTGCATAATTGAAACAAATTTCCAATTGTTAGAAAAGATGCTTAAAGAGAAGGAAATAGATATAAATTAGCCAGAATCTCTGGAAAGACTTCATATTAAAAAGATATGCAAATATTTTGTTGAGTATTGTTGCTACAAAACGTAATTGTTTTCTTGCTTTTAATATATAGTTATCTTAGTATCATTTAAGAATTCATGTCATAAATTACATATATTTTAAACTGTGACATCTTAATGGAATTTGATTTTAAAACAGATATTTTAAAAAAATGAATTTAATAGTGGCCGTGTAAATCTATAATAACTAAGAGGGTAAAAATTTACTCTATGGTACCCTTTAGCGAATCGTTTCTTTTTTTACGCCAAGATTGGCGCCAGTTCAAGATGGCTGCTGCACAAAACCAAAATAAGAAGTCAAAGACTAACACAAACTTGGTGTCCATGTACATATCGACCTATTGTCATTTTTTAAAAAAATCAAAGAATTGCACAAACTAGCCATAACGTTGTCCATGTACACATTGATCTATTTTCACTTAAGCAAAATCAGCAAGCTAAAACATAATTGAAACTATGATGGTAATCAAAAACATTTCGCCGCTGTCTTAACACACAGAGACGAATAAATAGCCAAAAATACACAAACAGAGAGGAATAAATAACCAAAAATATATCTTTCCTAATATAAAAACATTAAACAACAAATCTTTTAACAAAAATTAACCTACAGAGACGAATAAATAAATGAAACATAAAGTGGTTGATCTTTACAATATGGTAACTGGTAGTTTGGCGACATTTTGGAGGCGATAAAGGTTACTACCTGGCACTTTGGTAATAATGTGAGCAGTACTCAGTTCCGATTACGCATTATTTTGTGTGAGGGAAATGAGAGATCATGGGATATGTCATGTGATATTAATGGACGAATTACGGTTCTTTAAAATCGGAAAAGGGGGGAAATCGGGGAAAAATCTGGAAATTTTGTATTTGGCTTTATTCTGTGTTGTGTGAAACAGTGTTCGTGAATTTTTGGATCTCAATGGCCGTAACTAAAGTGAATTCGAAATGGGTATTTATGTATGTATTAATTTAATGTATGTGCTCATTTATATTTTAAGTAGTGTTTTTGAATTTAATTATATTTTAATTAAATGATAGTTATTTTGTGAATTTTATGTTTGTAGGAATTTGGTATACGTTTTAGTTGAAGTAAACGTGCATGGAAATAATTTAAATATCTGACAATAAGTATTTGTAATGGTTGCGGTATGAATTCGTTGGTGACGTGTATAATGTAATAGATGATTTAGAGGTAAAAGTTTTGGATATTTTATTTATTTTATATGTGGAAATGTTCATTACTTTTTCGCGATCAGGTAATTTCATATATGTTCTTTTTACCGGGTTTAAATATTGAGAAAATTGTCATGTATTTTCGTGAAATTTTTCTAATTTATGAGAAAAAAGCAGTGTACATGGATATAGTGAAGGGTGTGCGCAATACCATTTTTGTGCAATTCTGGGATGTTTTTTTAAGTAAAAATAAGTCGGCGTGTACATGGTTTAGTGATATTTTAATTAAATGATAGTTATTTTGTGAATTTTATGTTTGTAGGAATTTGGTATACGTTTAAGTTGAAGTAAATGTGCATGGAAATAATTTAAATATTTGATACTAAGTATTTGTAATGCTTGCGGTATGAATTCGTTGGTGATGTGTATAATGTAATAGATGATTTAGAGGTAAAAGTTTTTGGATATTTCATTTATTTTATATGTGGAAATGTTCATATTTGGAAAGGGTAAATACTTTTTCGCGATCAGGTAATTTCATATATGTTCTTTCTTTTTACCGGGTTTAAAGATTGAGAAAATTGTCATGTATTTTCGTGAAATTTTTCTAGTTTATGAGAAAAAGCAGTGTACATGGATATAGTGAAGAGTGTGCGCAATGCCATTTTTGTGCAATTCTGGGATGTTTTTTTTAAGTAAAAATAAGTCGGCGTGTACATGGTTTATGTGTATGTGTTATTTTGAAAAACGCGTAAGGAGTATGGTATTGTGCACTTTTTCCCCAATTTTGCAGTGAATATTTGTCATGA